TAATTATTAACTCAAACTCTACCAATACTTTATTCATACGAGGAAATTTCAATTATGCAATTAAATAGATTTCGAACTTTTAACAGGCATGTCACTTAAAAAACCTTTCATTTAGTTTCACGAACCGTTCGTGTATATAAGTTAAACATCGCAGTGAAAGTCGATATTTAGCGCAGAAGAAATACGACGTCCTTCATCTATTCGAAATAACTCATAAATTGATAAAATAATAGAAAAGGTAAGATTTTATTTTGTTATTTACGGTATTTTTCTCGTTTTTCTTGTATTGCTGTTACAATAAACAGGAATCTTCTGAACAGAATTTCTGCTCCATTATAAGCGTTGCGAAAACATGACGCATTAATTTCTGTAGACGTTGTCTAGCTGCATATTTTCCAACATATATGAAAATGATCATTGCCTCTCGAAAGAGACATATACAGTCATTTCACGTACCGAACGGCATTTCTAAACACGTTTACGCTCTAACACAGTATCACAATCGTACAATTCACCTACAAAATGTTACAATTTTCATTTGCAAAAATGTCAAAAATTGCATTGAATTTATTTTTTGTTGTGTATGATTCGAAGTTTAGTTAATTGCATAAAAGGAATTTAATCTTTTACTTACAGAAACGAAATATAGAGTCCGTGGGAATTTTATAACTTCTTCAGTCTAACTTTAAACATTCTCACGATGAAATCGTGTATAGTTTACACTTACAGGAGAAATTAGTCATATTGTTGTCATTCTACCACTAACTTTATACCCACGCCAGCTAAAATAATTGATCACCTGACGAATTTTCCCACCACAAAAAGTATAAAAGCCATCCTCCTTCCCTTCTGGAGGAGTCGCCAATCGGACGGAAAACGTCGAAGCCGGATATTATCTTGCTTTACGGCCTCAATTGGAAACCTTGTGCCACACCTCGCACCTGTTTTCGGGACGATCAGAGAAGAGATATCTATCCGATACTTTCCCCGAGATATGGAATATTATTATAAACTCTCTCTCTCTCATACGCGAATTTGAAGGAGTTTTGTCTTTTTTAATTTCGTTAGTGAGTTAAATAAACTGTTGTTTTGTTTTAACTGGTGTCGTTACTCGACTTTGCCAACGTCTTATCGTCGACCCTCTGACTCTCCTTCACTCGCGTAACGCGTAACAGAACGTTAACTCCATCCTTCGCAAGAAAGTAGGTCACCGACCTGTTGCCGGAAAGGAGAGGAATTTCCAACCTCCCAGGCGGCTCACAGTGTGAATATAATTTTTTTTTTACTGTCAATAATACAGTATCTTTTGTGTTTACAGTGGGTGATCGGTTAACGAACATAATCCGTTCCAAGACTTTGTTCGTTAACTGATTTTCGATTTACCATAGGTTCTTATGGGAATTTGATTTATTCGTTCCAGAGACTCGAATAAATAAAAAATATATAGTATTTCATTTTTCGGATATTTTATTTTTATATCTTTATTTAGTACGTTTATTTATATGTAATAGTAAAAATACGTAACTTATATATGCAGTCTTGTATTTTTATTAGTCATGTTTTCTGTTTGTGGGGATTAAAGAATCTGTCCAATGTCGATTGCTTTTCTCTCTCTTCAAGGTTTTTCAGAAGTAATTAATAGCATTGTAATTGTAGATATCCCTAAACCTATAACCTCAACCTGGTCTGGATTTCATTCTAAGACCGTCGTTCTGACATCATCCCACTTCTTCAAAAAAATGTTTAATAGCAGAAGAAAACATATCTTGCAGAGTTTCTTGGTGTTCTTCATTCAAGAGTTCTTGGCGTTCTTTTGTCGTCAGATCAGTTTCAGGTTTCATTATAAGCTCTTCAGTGTTCTTTATTTCTAATATGTAATTTTTGTTACTCCTTAAGCTGCTCGAGTCTTCTTGATAATACAGTGTCTAAATCTTTAAGCGCAGTTAAATCTTAGATAAGATTTAACTCTTAATAAATCTTAGATAAATCTTAGATAAGATTTAACTGCGGCTTACTGTAGATCTGTTCGAGTCATATTGCCCAACAACAACAGACATCAGACATCTGCCCACTCTCTACCTGAGATATTACACTTTTACCTTTAGAAAATAAAAACCGACGCTAAACTTAAATTAACGAGTTCCTACCCGACAGTCTCGTGCATATTATAAAAATTGTTTGTCAGAAAAATAAAAGGCTGGAATTAAAGGGAGAGTTTCAGTTTGGAGGGATGCTATCCGATCAGTAAATACCGAGTTGAGCGTCGATGTCGACGTCTCCCGCACTTTGAAAAGCTTTTTCTATTGGGTTTTCTGTCAGTTCTATAAATTCATCCGTTAGCACAAGTTCCGATTTTTTCTTATCCTCCCATTTTTTTTGTAACAATGATAACTTGATCTGTCTTATCTGCTTTAATTAAAGTTAAGTTAATTTTCTTTAAATATGTTTTTAATATTATACAATTTTTAGATAACTTTTTCATTATTTAACAATTATTATCATCTCACCTTTTTTTAGAATTTTTGTCTAATTTTTCAATATCTGCTTTTATTTGGTGTTTTATACTATTTTACCATCTTGTTTTATTTTAATTTGATTTACTGCCTTATCAATTTCAAATACTACATTAATTGGTTTGTCATTAAATGGCTTATTGTATTCTAGTCATAATTTCAATATATTACTTAATAATTTTGGTATGTTTAGAGTTGTCTTATCTGCTATTCACTGACTTTCCCACTACCGTTTTTCACTTAACGTTGGGTATTTGAATAATTGTTGTAATTTATGATCTTTTCTTCTATTGCATTGCCAGTCCATGATTTCTTTTACTGAACGTGTGTGTATTTCCTTGTAAACTCCGTACCCGTTGATTCAACAGGAACATTTGTTCAACAGCTGTCTTTCGTTTCCGCAAATGTCGCTTCTATGTAAAATTACTGAAATTTAGTTTGGCAGAATTAACTTCCTTGATACACGTGGTAAACTAGTTTTTAAGAAAACGTTTAAAATATTGTATACAGTCATATAATGCTTAAAGAGGGTGATGAGTTCCTCGGCGACATAAACATATGCACAAAGTAATGTAAAGTTCATTTTTTGTGATGAAAGTACTGGATTTTCTGAAATTCTTGTATTTTTGCGATAAAGTCGTGTAGTCTCATCTGTCACTTTTTTTCTTGCCTTAAGCAAATGCCCTTAGCAGAAGATCGCATCCAAAACGCCTCGTTTCGCTTTTGCACTGCTTTCAAAATCCGGATCATTCACTACAATTTGATCAACGATTTCGGTTATCGTTACCAAACTATTACTAAGGAAATCTGTCGAAAGTTCTATGGGTTTTTCGTTTTTAAAATCACTATTCTCCAGTTCTATATGAATTCCTTGTTCTGCCAGCTTTCAAAGGTCGTTGGTAAGGTTCTCACCAGAACCCGAATTAGTTAAGCATTTTATGATTTTTACGCTTATTTCTAGTTATAATTGAACAATAATATACCTGAAATCTACAATATCATGCTAGTTTATAGTCTGAATTTTGTACATCGAACTTACGAGTGCATTTAGAAATTTATATACTGCACGAAAATGGGTGTCCTCCTTTATCACAATCTGGTAGAAACGATTTATCACACAATAATGTAAGAAATGAAATATTTTTCTTGCTATTAATCTGTTGCAATCCAATCAGAAAATTTCGTATAATGATTTCTAGTAGGTAATTTAAATGCAATGGTCTATCATAAGAATGTTTCCTATTTATTTTCCTTATTACTTGATATCAAATTTTTATAGCTTCAAAATCTTCTAATTCCTGACAGTAAATAACGTCCGCAGAATTCGCGTGAAGAGCTGGATGACGAGATCGAGTGAGGTACAAAGTTTCGGCATCCCAGAATGGTGTGATATCGGAAATACAATATGTAGCATTATATGCAAGTTCGAAAAATCTTTATGTCTGCATTTGACATAAATGCAAAAAGGTTTCGAATATGTTGGAAAATTACATTTTTTACAATGATTTTGCAAGACCTGACTTCACAGAATTGAATCTGATGATAATCAATAACCCTGCATATCGCAGTAAAGAATAGACAGTGGCTTAGTGTCATGATTTTAGACCGAGCCGTTAGATGTCGTAAGGCATTCTGTAGCCTGCGAGAAGTCTTTCGAAATACCATAGTAATAAGAGTAGGAACCAACAATTCGATAGGATGTAGCATTCCGCAGTGCCTGCTGCGAAAAACACTAGCTCATTTCGATGCAGTGTAGAGAAATATCCATTCAATGGTAGAATCTATGTGTAATTCTAATATTCAGACAATTATTAGCAGTCAATAAGTAATTGTATTTTTCTGCTTAATAAAACTGTTTTGCAAACAATAAATAGCAAACATAACTATGACATTCTTTATTGAAGTGCAGTTTAGGAATTTCTCTAAACTATTGTATAAATATCTCTGCTTAGAATTACAATCAAATGCAAATTTTGGAACAACAGATTTTATGCAATATGTAAAAAGAGAATTCAATATTTTCCAGACATTTTGTATCAAACTCGTATAAAAGTAGATTGAAAGTATTTTCGAATAGCAAAATTTATTCTAATTTATAATTTTAAATAAACTTCTAATTTAATAAATTGTTTAAAAATGTTTATCTTTTTAGCGCAACGTTAAAAGATGGAGAGAAAGTTTTCATGTTTAAGTGAAAGTCTACGCAAGGGTTTCGGCAAACTTGGAAGAAACATCGCACACCACCCGTATTACTTCATCATTGTGCCGTTTATTTTCAGTGCTTTACTATCTGTTGGATTGTTCAAAATGAAATATATTGATGATAACGATTACTTGTTATGTGCTGACAGAGGAAATATTTTTGAAATTCGACAATTCATAGACAAAACATTTCCAATGAACACTTCGGAATTTTACGATTTACAAAGGATAACTCATCGTCCAGTCGTACCTGCGATCTACATAAAACACAAAAAAGATGAAAATATGTTACAGAAAAATATTTTACTGGAAGTTCAAATGTTAAGCGAAATAGCAAATAACGTCACTGTGCATGTTGATAAAAGACAAATTAGTTACAACGACGTTTGTGGACGGGTCTACGGAAAATGTTTCGAAAATCCTATTTCTACTTTGTTAAACCATCCGGATGATGTGGTTTCAAAGAGACTGAAATTCAAGTACCCCATAGATATCGATCCTTTAACGTTTTCATATAAGATAATGTTATTCAATTTAGGAGGTGTGATCGTTGACGAAAACGATTATATAGAAGAAGTATACGCCATGCGTTTTTCATATCCATTGGATGATACTAACACAAGTAAAGCGGAGTGGACTAAAGCTTGGAGTAAAGCTCTTTACAGAAGAATAAAAAAATGCAATTTCAAGTATATTGACACTTTTTTCGAGCCATTCGCTTCGACTGATGTTAATGTTATGTTAGATTTGCAGGAGATAATACCATTTATAAGCGTCACCATAATCGTGGTATGTCTCTTCAGCATGCTGAGTAACATGACTAATACTTGGATTAGAAGCAAACCGTGGATGGGTGTAGCCAGTGTCATATCAGCCGGAATGGCTGTAGCTGCCTCGTTTGGATTACTATTTGCGTGTGGTGTAGAAAGCACATATTATAACGTTGCTCTCCCATTTGCAATTCTGGGTAGGTTATATAATATGTTATATAATGTGTACGTTTTTTTTCTGGCTAATATTTTGAAATTGTTTTTCAGTGACAGAAGTGGACGATTCTTTCGTAGTGATTGCATGTTGGAGAACAACAAATACTCGTGATCCAGTTGAAAAGCGGATGGAGGATACGTATTCGAATGCAGCAGTGTCCATAACTATAACTTCGTTAACCAATTTTTGTTCTTATTGTATTGCAATGAACTGCCCATTTCCAGTAATTAGAATATTCGGCTTTTATGCTGCGACCTGCATCTGTTTTACGTATTTCTTTCAGCTGACGTTTTTCGGAGGTTGTCTGGCTTTGAGTGGATACACAGAGAAGAAAGGTCTTGATCTCATTTCTTGTAAATCTGGTTTAGGTGAAGAAAAGTTTATTATATAATTTTTAAAATTTATTTCATTTACACGTTATAATGTTTCTGATTTAAAAGCAGCAGGAAAAAGAGTAAAAAGTAAATAGAAGCGACTTTCATTATAAAATATATTAGTGGATTTTCATTCCGTACTTCAAACTTTTTTAATGTGTCTGTAATGTTGTGATAAGTGAAATTCATAAAATTAATAAACACTGCTGGGATGCTACACGAAATCGTGAAGTTGAAATCTTTAATACTTTATATGTGAACTAACGTATAAGAAAATCAAACATTAAAATTTTCAAAAATATAGTAACCCTTCTATTTAAATTTTTGTCTAGGTATTACGTTTTATTACATTGATATATTAAAAAAGGGATTAAAAGCGAAGTTGTAGGCTATATTCATACACTGATACAATGTTAGAGATTGATCTGACTGACAATCAGAAGATTTTGGCATGGATGCTTTACTCTCAGTGGCGTAACTAAAGGGAGTGAGTACTATGATACGCTTCTTGTCTAGTCTTCTGAATGGCTTTTGAGCGCTAAGATTGGCTTTACTTTACCGCTAGACTTATTACACCACCACAGAATATTAAATTAGATTTAGAAAAACACTATTTTTTTTCCAGAATACATTTCGGACACAGAGTCCCTCATCAGCTTTTTGCTACAAAATTAATAGGAGGTTAAGAGTTTTTATAAACAGACCGTGATTGACAGAAATGAACAAAGAATGTGGACTTACATTTGACATGTGGATTCGATGCGTTGAACATTAATTAATTAAAAGACTAAGCACGCGATGAGACAAGATTTTTCATTACAAACGGTAATGTTGATATAATAACATAATAATAAACTGAGGTTCCGGTAAAACAGTAAAGTCGTAAAAATATACATTGTGTTAAACAAAATGATAAGTAGATTTACAGTAACACGAACAGAGTAACAAGACAATTCGAAGTACTGTACATTCCAGGTTAACCGTCCACCCTTATCCGTTTTCACACCTCTTCTCTCCTCCTACGCCTCTTCTGGTCAAATATGCGTACCACGATTCGTGTAATTTTTGACTGGAGTTGTTATTCATGATTTTCTCTTTGTTTTTTATTATTTCTAAGTGTTCGTACTATCTTCTTTTATAAGTATTTTGTTCCTTTTTAAATATTTTGACAGTATCCTTTACAATCTGACAGCCTTCATTATTACAGTGGGCGACTACAGCTGAGCTATCATTGAAAATTTTTCATTTTTATCATAAATTTCTCACTTTTTTTTAATTTCGTCAAATTTAACTTTATTTTATTTCGCGTAATAAATGCAATAGGCTAATTGTGTATTTAATATTTTTCAGAATGCAGCATAACTAATAATTATGAAGAAGCGATGCAAGAAGATATTTTCATGAAGTTCTTCAAAGACAAAGTTGCGCCGTTTTTTCTTTATTCTTCAAGCAAAATTATTATATTACTTGTCTATATCGTTAGTTTATCATTTAGTATATGGGGAATCATTTCTTTGAACGAAGGTCTTAATGTATTCGGTTTTTATCCCGAAAATTCCAAAATCACCCGAGCTTTTAGAGTATATTATAACTATTTTACTAAATATCCGTTTAGTATTCACATAGTGATTAACGAAACTTTGGATTATTCAAACGAAGTCGTTCAGAAATCAGTAGAAGACATGATTAAGAAGTTCCAGTCTCATCCGAACGTAGCAGATTTAGATATTTCTTGGCTAAAATATTACAATGATTTTCAACAGCATTCAGCAGCGAAATATTCTTTTATGGGATACGATTTATCCACTAAACAAGATTTCATCGATGCTTTACGAAATGTTTTTTTGAAATTTCCAGGAGCCAAACATTACCAGAACGATATCGTATTTAATCATAATTATACGGATATTATTTGCAGTCGTTTCTTTCTTTTAGCAAGAAATGTTTCGGATAGAATCACGGAGTCCAAATTAATCAAAGATATACAAAAAATGGCGGAGGAATTTCCTTTTAATGTTTTTACACACACCCTGATATCGACATTCGTCGAGCAAAGTATCATTATTAGAGAGGTGGTCTTTCAATTTTTTTGGATGACGTCGTTAATAAATCTTGTTATTTTTATTTTCTTTAATCCAAACATTTTGTATTCGGTTGTCGTTGCTCTGTGCATTTCGTCTATTACGATACAAACTCTGGGTTATATGTCGTTGTGGGGTGTCGACTTGGACATCGCCTCTATGTCCTTCTTTGTAATTTCTATGGGATTTTGTGTTAATTACCCTACTCACATATGTTATTCTTTTCTCACTTCGTCAGATAAAACCATAAAAGGTAAATTGAAACACAGTTTATATAATGTGGGATTTCCGATATTTCAGGGCGCATTCTCAACCGGTATAGGTGTGTTGATAGTTTTGCACAAAACTGTGTTTCTGAGTAAAGCATTTGTTAAAATACTTGTTATAATTGCGGCACTAACTGCGTTTCATGCTTTATTCTTAGTTCCTCTCGTATTTTCTATTATTTGGTGTTGTATTAATATAAACAAAGCAAGAAAAAAAGCATATATTTTATAACATGGGATGAAGAGATTGAGCATGAGCAAATAAACATATTAATTGGTTTATATGAACTAATTTACTTTTACAGAATGGTTTTGTTTTTTTCAGATTTTTTGTTTATTTTCATGTTGTTCTTTTTCAAAATGACACCAGATTTAATCAAGAAATATGTATTCATATAATCACCAGTTTTATAGTATATTTTAGTTCTTTGTATCAACTGATTATAGTTTAATACAGAGCAAGATTGTTTAATAAATAAAGGTTTTTTTATTATAATATCGTTGTATGTTCTGTTATAGTTATTAAGTGCCTTACGTTGTGAGGTCGAAAACTACCCCATTTTCTTCAATTTATGGGAAAAATCGGTTGGCAGACTTAAACTCACTAATTGCATTTCATAAAAAGACTTACTCTTTGATTGATAAATTAAAAATTCAAATCAACTAATCACTGTTAGTAGGTCTGAATTTTTAATTAATCACTTCAAGAATTTTAAAATGTCAGTTTTTCAAAGAAAATATTTCCTCAAAAAATTGATGAAACTTTATGGCTTAATTCCACAGAAATAACAGCCGGTTTCTTTTTTGCCTGGACCGCATTTAATCAGAGACAAAAGCTTATCTTCGTATTCTTTATTTACTTATTTACTATGCATTTTGGGTGCAATGTTTTTGTGTAACTCTTCAGGTTTTACATTTCTATAAATTGGTAAATTCGATTATTACATTTGTTATACTATGTCGGAGCAGTAGGTAATGTTATTCTTAATTATTAACCCTTGAATATGGCGCTAATAATATAGTAATTCACGCTACTAATAAAACAATGGCACGTTTAGAACCTATTACGGGCCCCGGGCAAGTGCCTTGCCTGCCTTCTGCCAAATTAGGCCCTGAGTTAAATGTGTCGAGTTGAAAAAGCTAAGTTGAAAAAAACACCACAATACTACAATTAGGTAAATACAGTAGTGCAATGTACAGTATCTCTCTGATTATCCATCACTGGCAATGAAGTTTGTTTCTACTCCAAGTTCCCAGCAATTTCCATCGCTTTCTGTTTCAGCATCGGTCACGAAACAGGAAGATTCGATGAACGAATTTGCTTTAACCATCCTACGACATCATCTTCGACATGTTTGTACTATGATTGTCTCTGGCGTTTTCAAGACAGCCGCGACGAAAATTCAAGAAAAAGTTTCTTAACTTGCTCTTTTTTCTTCAGGATTCCCAGCAATATTGTTTTTGGAAGATTTTTTATTTCGAATATTCGGCTTACAAAGTCGAATATTCAAAACAATCAGACAATTATTATGTACTCGTGTGTTTACTGAAGACATTTAAAATCGCTGATGTATTCAACTCCTGTACCTAATGTCGATGTTTTGAGGGAGCGTATCCAAAATGGCTTTGACCAAATTCGAAACACTTAATGAATTTTCAACAGAGTATGGCAAAGCATGGAACGCAGGCTCAGGGAATGCGTCGAAGCAGGAGGAGGTCGCTTGGACCAATTTTTGTAAATCTATGTTGTTAAATGCCTTACATGTACCATTAGCAATAAATCCTGTAATTCCCTAACGAACGATTTTCGGACCCATGTATAGTACATATGAACATTTTGTAATGTTTTGTCGTCAGGAACACATCCCTACATTTATGGACACCAATTTAGATATACCCTGTATAAATGCACTGTATTTCCACAATAAGACGTATAAACATTATGTGCCAAAGATATAATCAAATAGTGCATTGTTAGATCAACATTGTATTACGTTTAGCCGCACGAAGACAAAGAATATCAAAAACAAGGCACAGTGCATACCTGATCTCGAAAAAACCGTTTTTTCTTCGTTGCTTTCAGAGCAAAATTTCTGTCAAAATCTTTAGACCGAGCCAAGTAAACTGTTCCGTAAGTTCCTTTTCCAATTTTTTGGAATTCGTAAACCTCTTTAATGTACTGTTTTGTTTCTGTTAAACATTCAAGTCCAAATTCATATTCTTCCGATTCGCATTTCTATCATCATGAAATATTTTAATTGCAAAGTTCGCTAAGTGATAAGCAGAGCAACGAAAGTGTTACTTGTGAATTGGAAGATTCGCCTCTAATACAACAACAACGCAACAGTTGTTGTTGTATTAAATACTAGTACAATACGTAATAATAGTGTGTCATCACGTGTCAGAGTAGAGCGCCTGACGGCTTACGGTTATTTTTCGGCTATTTCTCTCGCGTAGACATATATCTCAGCATGGCCAGGAAGCCATTTCAAACTTTTTGGAGGATTCATATACAAAACAAAAACACCTAACTTTTTGCCGTCGATCAATATATAAAACGTGATTTAAAAAAACAATAGGACTACTTACAGACCCTGCATCGTTCGATCGTTATTGCTCAAGTTCGTTTCCTTCGTGGAGTACAAATCGTGTCACGTGAATATTCAAAACTTGCCTCACATCAACCACGTGACAAATCTGTCATGTTTCCTAAAAACTTTTCAAACTCGGAAGCAACCGCGGTCCACAGTTCGATAGACATTGCATTTGGTACGTTTCCGGTAATACCCCTGTCAATTATGATAGTCCACCTCCGAAATGAGCTTAAGCAATGGGCGGCTGAAACGTCGAGTAGTCCTATGATTTTTTTGTTTATACCGTTTTCTAAATGAGTTTCCCATCATATACTCGATGTGTTTCGGATATGTCTAGCATGTACTGTACGTTTCTATTGTAAATAAAATTGAGAGAAAAAGCGTTGATGTATGGCTTATAAACAAATATCATGTATAATTTTACCACATTTTTCTCTCACTGTTTAATCTAGCACGGTTTGGACAATAAAGGACATGGCCACTGTACTTATCGTTCGAGTTATTAAGAGTTAGATACAGAAGAGAAAATGAAAATTACGCGATATATAATTACATTACATACATAAATTCCCTTATAAAGTTTATGTAAACATTTCTATCTATAAAATGTTTAAAATCACGTACTTTAATTCACGTACAGTAACGATCAAGCGTCTGAACGAGAAGAATGACAAATACAAACTAAACCCTACCACGCTGGTCACTATTCGACCAACCTACATTTCTCACTAAATCTCAGGAAATCCACTCGCTTAGTTTTAATGGTTCCTTAATTAAGCACATATTACTTAAACAGCGTGAAATCACTAATCAGCTCTTCCTGGTCAAATTATCTTCGGTCCGTTACTTTTTAATTTAAAGTCCTCAAATAAACTACATTTACTTAACATTTTTATATCGTTTATCCGAAAGTCGGTTATCCGAAAGCATTCCAGTCGGCAAATTTAAATTTTCGCTAGTGCTGTGGCGCTGCAATCTTTGGCTATATCTTGGGCTACTCCAATATTTTTTTTTTTTTGGTTGGTGTGTGTTTTTAGTTGGCAGCACTGGCACTTTTGTGTGGTGTTTTTCTGAGGACTGTTTGTGGTGCTGAATCGAACGTTTTTGATACAANCCGAACAACCCCAGTCCCCAATTGATTCGGATAAACGACGCTCTACTGTAATAATAAAATAATAATATAATGTAAATATTTAACATATTTATATTTTAGAAGATACGTGGGAAATGGCGTTTCCATAGCTTCCACGGACAGAACGCCACTGATATATAAATACAGTAGAGCGTCGATTATCCGAATCAATTCGGGACTGGAGTTGTTCGTAAGATCGGTGTTTCGGATAACCGATTATATACGAAAAAATATATTAATTTATTCCATCTTGACATTTTTCTCCGTTTCGTGTCGCTTTGCGTTGACTTTTCGTCGATGTTAAGCCTAACGAAGACTATTCTATCGTTAAAAATTATTTTTTTATTTTGTACAAACAAAATAAATATATTGAAAAATATAAAAACAATAAAAAATTATACTTCAGAAGTTAATTCAGTACCAAAAACGTAAAATACTTGAGTATCCCAAGACATAGCCAAAGATTGCAGCGCCACAGCACTGGCGAAAATTTAAATTTGCCAATTGGAATTCTTTCGGATGATTGACTTTCGGATAATCGACGCTCTATTGTATATGGTTAACATTTAATATTAATTTTAATCTAAAAGTGTGCAATTTTAATATTTATTTTGATAAATATCGAATCTTAAAAATTAAATTTCATATTAAAATTTATTAAATGTGAAAGTTTATATATACTTCAGACAATTCGATTGACAAATTTAACTGTTGAAGTAATTATAATTCTGGTTCGGACGTATATAGACTGCAATGACAGCTGTTTAAATACAGTGTGAGTGTCCGTACAATGTAAGTTGCCTTGTCCATTTACAGACGATTAACAGAGTCTTTAAGCTGGTAAAAACACTGCTTTATATTTTGGTTTTTACTTTGCCGACCATCAGACTGTCGTTGTTCTGTGGGCTTTAATCTAATCGAAGTGCAGAAATGTCTGTCCATCAATTCAAAACGAGAAAACCCAATCTGGGATGAAATGTCAAGTCCTGTAAATTAAGTATTAGCAGGGTGAAACGTCATTTCCGGTGAAAAGTGGACATGGGTGAAAGTGACCTCAGAAGAGAAAAATTACGTTTTATGCAGCAGAAGAAAAGCCTTTTCCACCAAGGTTTCTTTCGCTTGACAGATGTTTCCACTATCACTTTGGACTGTTTTCTCTCTCGCGACGCGATCGACACTCCACCGACCGTTTTGCAACTTCCGGGTACAGTCGTTCCAGGTAGTCGACCACAGTCGAGGTACTATCGTCCGGACTAATGACAACCACCCATAAGTACCGGGTATAAGCGACTGGCACTTTCCGCTCTTCTCGACATCTTTCGGAAGCACCCAAATCACTCGAACCGAAGCAGAAGACGTCGAGGCGCTTT